AACACAGTAACAGATGAAACAATATTTCAGATGTGATCACAGTCTGTCATCTACAGATTTTGAGTTCACTGAAAAGGGGGATAGTTGGGTGAATCTGATTTAATCAGACAAATTAGTAATGGGAACTAGTCTTTTCCCGAAAAATAAGACAGACAAAAAATAAAAAATAAAAATAAAACACACACACAGGCTTCTAGCTTCCTAGAGCTTCATCTTAGGACTGGAATACCGCCAATCCTCAAGGGGTATACGCCAAGGCAAGTATAGACATGATGCCTTCTATAGGAGCAGTTGTTAATGTAGTGATTTCTTCATAATTGAAACATTCCTTCCTTTCTGAAGGGAGACTCTCTGGCTGGCGAGCTACCTGTGAGTCCTGTGTAACTCCAGAGTTTCAGCTTGTGTTAGTCATCACCCAGGCTGGCACGGGGTTTTGGTGAGGCATCTCCCTTTGAGTCAACCCTGCTCCTGTAAGTAGTGCTTCACACGTATTTCTGTATGTAGCCTCTGTAGCCCTAACAAATTCATTGGTTCACCAAGTAAGACGTTCTTGGAGCCATTACTTGAGTTTGTCATTGGTTCCCTACATGGACCAAATGAATGTTTGTTCATATCTCCATCAGAAAAAGGCATCCAACAGTAACTAACAACCCAAATCATTGCTCCAGTCAATCTACCAAAGTTAGGTAAGAACTGTGTTGGCATGTTCTTTGTTCAATGTCTTTTGACACTGTGACAATCAAGGAGAAGCAGGACAGAGTAGGGGTGGCTAATGGTTTTGGTTTGGTTTTTATAGGGCTAAGTAATGAAGTCAGTGCCTTGTGCATAATAGGAAAAAATTCATCTTTTGAGCAGAACCTTATGTTATTGCATGAGAGAACTCTTTCATTGATTAGTATGTTTATTGGCTGACCTAGGTTTTCTCACAGTTTTATAAGCTAACAGAAGGAAGCATAGGTTCCTCAGAATGCAGCCTGCAGAAAGACAATTTTCTGAGCACTTCTTTAGGAAATGACAGAATTACAAGATGTGGAAATTAAAGTCTGTGAGAGCCATCTTTGTGTTGTGATGACATCTACATTCTTGTCGGTATCTAAAATATTTTCCCAGAAGAATTTCTTGATAAAATACCGATCACCAGAAAAGGGATGCTTTCTTCTCTTGTGAGGTCATGATGCTCATTAGATGGTGATTGTTGCCATCTTAGCACCCATTCTCTCCTCTTAGCGATATTTGCTACAAAATAGCAATTCAGATGTGGCTTGGTACCTTTTCTGAGTTCTGCCTTCACATCTTGCTTCCTCTGTGTCTGGCTGGTAACTCCTGACTCAGCCCTCCTCTTCCCAGAATTCTCCTCATCTGCTTGCCCCACCTATACTTCCTACCTGGCTGCTGGCCAATCAGCATTTTATTTATCAACCAATCAGAGCAACACATATTCACAGCATACAAAAAGACATCACCCATCAGCTGAGTGTGGGTGTGGTGGCACAGGCAGTTAATCCCAACTATCTGGATGCAGAAGCAAGGAGAGCTCAGAGTTCTAGGACAGCCAAGGATATGGAGAAATGTAGCTAGAATTTTCTTGCCTTGTCCACAGTCAGGACAAATCTTTGTTACCTGCTAGTCCCACAGCCGCTCAGACCCAACCAAGTAAACACAGAGACTTATATTGCTTACAAACCGCATGGCCATGGCAGGCTTCTTGCTAACTGTTCTTATAGCTTAAATTAATCCATTTCCACAAATCTATACCCTGCCATGCAGCTCGTGGCTTACCAGCATCTTTTCATGCTGCTTGTCAGGGTGGTGGCTGGCAGTGACTCCTTCTGCCTTCCTGTTCTTTTATTTCTCCTCTCTGTTAGTCCTGCCTATACTTCCTGCCTAGCCACGGGCCAATCAGTGTTTTATTTGTTGACCAATCAGAGCAACTTGACATACAGACCATCCCACAGCACAGCCAAGTGCACACCATCTCAGACACCTGCACTCAGGCCCTTGGTCCTTATCATCCTCTATGTGGATCTGCTGGGTAAAGCCACTAAAAACCCAAGAACAGGCTCCCACAGGACATACAGAACATCCCACAGCAGAGAAACAAAACAAAACAAAAAACAGACAAAAAAAAAAGAAAAACAAAAAATTAGAGGGTAAGCATGAGAGTAAATATTTAGAAACAGACTTGCTTGTTTCTTTGATTTAAAACTGACATAAAACAATGTTCATAATAATAGTAAAATAGAAAAAAGGAAGGGAGAAGGAGAGGAGGAAGGAGGGAGGGAAGAATGGAAGGAGAGGAAGGAAGGAGTAGATGAGAGAGGGAGGTGCATATATACAGAGAGAGAGAGAGAGAGAGAGAGAGAGAGAGAGAGAGAGAGAGAGAGAGAAAGACAGAGAGAAACAGAGAGCGAGAGAGCACAGTATCCATTACTTGGAAATAGCAAAATTATATATGAATGGTATCTGGTTACTAGCAAATTTTACACAGTGAAAATAATTGTGTAAGTTGAGAAATGCCAATATATGCTATTTCCAACAACTGTTATGTTTAATAAAATACATACATATTCACATATATAATATGTGCATATATTTCTAAGTAAAAGAATTGACCATTATATCAAAATTCTAGAACACTTTCCTTCTAAATGATTTTTGTATTTTCTAAATTATATGATTAATATGTGTGGTATGGTTAATATGGTTAATATTTAGCAATTCATAACTAACTTTATTGCTTTAAAAAAAAAGCACTGTAACAATTACAATTCTAGGATTTGAGAGTCCTATATTCAGGACCCTCAAATAGATTTTCCAGTTCTCTCTAAGAGCCAAGAAGAATTTCTGATACTAGGAATGTAACAAAGGGACCACAGTGGAGAATGTAGCTGGTAAACAGATGCTCTAGGGTCACAGGACTTACCAGACATCCAGTGCTTTGAAAAGAAAGATATCCTTAGACTTCAGGGAGTACATTGCATGTGAAATAAATGAGGATTTCCAGTCAGGCAGGAGATTTAAGGGTTTGTACACAATATTGCTTCTGTTTTTGTTTTGAAAGTTCAAGGCTAACTCTCACCTCTTTTGGAAAAAGATTTTCTTCTGTGTGTGCATTGCACATCATGTGTGTTCACTAGTGTGGAGTCCAGAAGTTCATATGGGGTGTCTTTCTCAATTGCTTTTCATCTTATTTTTTTGAGACAAGGTCCCTTACTGAATCGAATGCCTGTCATTTGGGCTGGCCAGCTAGCCCCTGGGACCCACTTGTCTATATCCCAGTTTGGGCTGATAGGCATGCATCACCATGCCTGCTTCTTGTGGCTTCTGGAGATCTGAACTCAAGTTTTCCTGTTTGCATACCAAGCACTTTATCCACTGAGTCATCTTCATAGCCTCCATCACTGACCTTTTTATGCTATGTGAGATTGACTTTGGCCTGCCGTGGTCTGAGTGAGCGACCTTCAATTTCAGGCAATTCTTCCAGTTCCCTCTTGCTTATGGGAGCATTGTGCAGGACTGACAGTGACACAGACTGCACATGTGAGCACCAGCTGCACATGCAGAAGACAGTTCACACTGCAGCATCTGCAGACTAGGAAGGGGGCTCAAACATGGGGGGCAAAAGTCATTCCACATACAGGCCTTGCAGATGTTAAAGACTTGGACCCTACATCCTCGTGTCTGTGGTTTGCAGGCCAGAACTATAAACCGGTGCTAAATCCCATATGAGCTGTAGCATCTGCAAACTCCCGGCTTTGAATTTCTGTGCCAGGCCTAGAGAGACAGTGTCGATAAGCTCCCTGAAATTCCATTTATTTTATTCATCATCCAGGGCCAAGGGTGGTGGTGTGGAGGGAATAGTCTCTTGGATTCATGAGGCTTAACTGTAATCTCTCACTAGAGTTATTTACAGCACATGGTTATAGGCTGGTTTGGGATTTGTTAGTTACATAAACTCTGGCTGTGGCTTTAGATTTAGACTTAAGAGATCCAATCCAAATGCAAGATTCAAATAGCTTGGCGGCGTTCTCCCTCCTGGGTGGAACAATACTACTATGGTGATAGTTCCCACCAAGGCTGGCCTCAGTCTCTTAGCTTCCTTTCTGACTCCTGTCAGTGTGACTTATTGTTTCTTCGCACCCACCCAAACCCCATAGGCCTATTCCATAATTTAACGGAGCATGTTCCAGCACAGACCCAAGATTACTCCTAGTTTCCCCAAAACACCTATCACACCTGCAGCCCATGGAGTATTTTCTTCTGACCTTCCTGATCCTCTTCTCTCCTATCTGATAAGACTTTTGGGGACTACTTGGAATAGCCATTCTAGTCAAGACAGTGAGTTGCTAACGACTGATGTTACTAACTTTCCACCTACAGCCTCCCAGTTGCTTTTGGATCCCAGCCTTTGGCAAGGTCCACAGACAGCACAGTCTGTTCTGCTGTTTCTTTCCTTTCACATCCAAGTCGTCCCTGGACTTCTTGCACAACATCTCATCCAATAACAACCAAACAGCTCCCTATTTTCTAGCTAGTTAGATCTGAAATTTTATTATGTTCTCACTTTGTTTTTCCTGGCCCCAAGGTTTCTTTTTCCCCTTCAACTGTTCCCAGCCTGATTTCTGTGATCTCACCCTCTTTTTAGGGAATTAATTTCCTCCTGCAGTTAAGTATTTTTCAGAGGTCATGGTGATAATAGAGTAGGCTATTTTGGGTGAGATTCTATCACGCATTGCAGATGGCTTAGCATCCCCACCCCCTTTTTCACTACATCCCAGGAGCATTCTCACCCTCCACTATGGAAAAGAAAAGTCAACTGCTGTGACTGGGCCTGGGTGGGTTCCAACATGCCCAGTTAGTGTACCTGCTAATTCTGCTATACCAATCCTAAAGAGATCTGGAGATTTGAGGAAACGCCCCATGCTCTAGGCATTCCTCCAGAAAAATGGAATCAGGGAGGCTGAAGTGAAGGGTTATCCACAATGAAACATAAGTCTGACCTTAAATCAAAAACTTCTTAGAAGACAGAAGGAAACCTAGGCCATCTATGAAGCACAAGTCAGTGGTCCATCTGCTTTCACGGTGAGATGAAGGACCAAAGTGTATTTCAGATAGTTTTGGGCCAAGATGTAAGAGTCAGGTGCTGAGATGGGTTTCTGTGGAAGAGGTCAGAGTTAGAGCAGGAACGGATGTGGAATGCACTGTATAACAGAAGGTTTGTCCTGAGGTAACGGGAATGTTAGCACCTGTGACACTAGCAGCCACTCCAGAAAGCGGCAGTTACTGTTCCTCGACACAACACGGGCTTCTGGAGAAAGGGAAAGAGATTCACCTGAGGAAAACACGTTTGTATCCCCCTTACCTGCAGCTGCACGGATATATTCATGTAAAAGAACCTTGGTGTCTATGATGTCACTGTATGCTGAGTTCAATTAATAGAGACATTCTATTGAAAAGCGAAATGTTTTTGAAAAGTAAGGAGCAGGCCTATTAAAGATAAATTAAGCTCAGGAAAGTTCATATATTGTCATTCTGGTGGGCTCAGTGATGGGATATGATTGAGGAAAAAGCACAAATTTAAAGAAATGAGGAGTTTTTGAGATATTTTAGTGATTTCATTTTCCATAATGAAATGAGATCATAAATCCTTGATAGTATCTGAGTACTCCAAAGTAACTCAAAAGAATAGGAAAAGCTGAAAGTTATTGAGGGAAAGGAAAACAAACGAACAAAACATAAAGAAAAAAAAATGCTGAATTGGTCCAATCTCTCCTTTAACCATTCAGTCTAAACTGGTGTTATTGTTGTGTAGAAAGTTTTCACAGAGGAGAAAAAAAAACCTTTTGTGAAGGAAAATGGCATTTTGTATGTGTGTGTGTGCATTAGATACAAATGTAGAAAATTAATGGTATCCCCTTCTGTCCATCAGTAGTAAGAAGATAATAGCAGCTGTCACTCATTCACTCTGCAACAACAAAGCCCATCATAAATGAAACCCAGGTTGCAGCACCAGAGGAGACTGACTCCAGGAACATGAAAACGTAGGCCCACCCCTTAGTTAATAAATTAAATCATGATGAAAGGCATAAACAGAAAAAGAAAAACTGCCTAGAAATGATCATGTTCATAATAAATCAACTAATGTAACAATAAGATATGGTCATTCATTAGCTAACCTGACTTAATGATAAAATTAGTGAGAAAAACAGAAAATGAGACTTTTATAAATGTATGACTTAGAACACAAAAAAATAACAAAAATGCTTTCAGCCATTAATTATCAGTTAGAATATATAAATATATATATAGAATATATAAATTTGAAGATCTTTCTCAAAAAATCTGTAAAGAACTTAAAATACTCACATCCTTTGGTACCAATTTGTTTCCAGTAATTTCAACTGAAGAAACCAATTACTGGGTCCTTATACATGGATCAATGACAGTTTCCACTGTATCATTGTATACACAAAATAAACACACACACACACACACACACACGTACGTGTGTGTGTGTGTGTGTGTGTGTGCTCTTCAGCTTATGAGGAGGTTACATTCCAATAACTCATAAAAATTGAAAATATCCTAAGTCAAAATGCATCTAATACCCATAACATGCTGAATGTAATAACTCAGCAGCAGAGTATGGTCATAGAGTGCCTCTTATTTACCACCATGCTCTTGTGAACTACAGTGGCTGTGGCTAACAGCCACCACCAAGCATCATGCTGCATGTCACAGGCCATAAAAAGATGAACATTCCACATTCAAGCTAGTTTCTACTAAATATCTATAGCCTTTACTTGATAATAAAGTTGAGAATGTAGTAAATAAAAGTACAGCAAATTCTGTGAATTTATAATACATAATTGTGTCTCAATAGTCCTGGAATTTAAAAAAGAGATTGTTATGGGGATCAAAGATAATAATCCATGAAAAATGTTGGAATTAGTATAGAGTATAAAGTTAACAAGTGATAGCTATTCTGTTTAGAATACCTGGGTGAACATAAAGTCACTAGGGAAAATGGAAGAGTCAGCTTTTTTGTAGAGGGCAAAAGCAATTCAAATTCTTTTTTTTTTTTCCCCTCAGAAAAAGCCACTTGCCTTGCATACTGTTCAGATTCAGTGATGCTTTGCTTTCAAGAGACAGAGATTTAGTCAGAGCCAGAGGGGGTAGATGAAAACAAGTGTCCTCCGGACACAGCAGAGCTGACACACGTATGACCTCACAGAGTCTGTGGCAACATGCACAGGGCCTGCACAGGCTCAAGCCAGATGGAGTCACAGCACTGAGAAGGGAAGTGGATACAAGCCCCCATCCCCAACCCAGAAGCCATCTCCAACTGCCAAGTGCTCATAAAGGAAAACGTCGTTCTCTCCAGTGGAATCTCATAGGGCATATAAACCACTCTTAAGGACAGACCCCATGCCCAGCTGTGGATGGCCAACACAAGAGGAACTCAGTGGTGTTTGGGGGATCTTTTTGCCTCGTGTTGTTTTGGAGGACAGTGTTTATCTTACTGGCCTTTTACTTCTACATTTTGGTTTCCAATTTTGTATTTTTATGTGTTTGGGGTTTTTGTTTCTTGCCACATTGTGTGTGTGTGAGTGTATGTGTGTGTGTGTGTGTGTGTGTGTGTGTGTGTGTGTGTGTGTGTGTGTGTTTCTATTACTTTTTGCTTCTTTCTCTTTTTTAAATTCTGGTTTGTTTTTATTTACCTATTTCTTTTCTAAAGAGAGAGAGAAAAAACATGGAATTTGAAGGATGGAGAGGTGAGGAAGAGATGAGGGAGGGAAAGGCATGATCAGAATATATTGTATAAAAATTATTTTCTATAAAAAAGAGAAAGAAATAGAGAATTATTCATAATTCAAATAATGGTAGACTCAAGTTCAGAGAACTCAGTTGCCAAGAGTGAAGTTGAACTGAGAACAGGAACTTTAAAATCAGAAGGAGACTCTTGCTCAGCCTTGTCTTCTGGGGTCTTGGGTTCTATTATAGCCTGCCCACCATGAAGTCCATCCCTCTAAGGTCAGCTGAGTGGGATATGTTGATGGCAAACCAAAGATGGTTGCTTAGACCTATGAATTCTCCAGCCTCTGCTCTGGGATGTCCTGTATGCTGTAAATATATGTTGCTATGTTTGATTGATTGGCCAGCAGCTGGGAAGGAAGGATAGTGTAGGTGGGACAAGGAGGAGGAGAATGCTGGAAGGTGGAAGGCTAAGGCAGGAAGATGCTGCCAGCCACCACGAGGAGAAACATGATGTAAGATACCAGCAAGCCTTGAGCTACCGTGGCAAGATATAGATTTATAGAAATGGATTAATTTAAGATATAAGAACAGATAGCACGCAGGCTGCCATGACCATACAGTTTATAAGTAATATAAGTCTCTGTGTGTTTACTTGGAGGATGAGAGTGGGAGAGATTTGTCCTGACCATGGGCCAGGTAGGACCAGGAAAACTTCAGCTACAAGCCTCTGTTGGACAGATAGAGGCAACCATTTGCTCCCCAAGGCTAGAAAGAGTACAAGTCATGCCAGAGTGAAATGTGATGACAAGAAAACACAAAATAGAAGAAGATTCCCAGGGAAGGACAAGTGCTTGGACAAATGTCATGAACACATCAACTGCTACCATGGGGGGAAAAGTAGGATTTAACAAGAGAAGAACCATTTTAAAGCTAAGTTTGCCACACATTCTAGGCCCAGATAAAGGTTCACAGAAGTTGAGTATAAGAGGTTCCTACCCTAGTCTCAGCTGCATTCCTGGCAACCTACTTCTCTGACCTTGGGTCTGTTGTCACTTGAGTTGTTGGGAACAAAGATCTATGTCTTGAGATTAAAGCGGAGCTGGCTCTTCACAGCCTGGTAGATGCAACTCAGGTAGGTGGCTCCATCTGAGAAAAAAGGAACTGCCTAAAATGGTACTTCAACAAGAAGCCCTCACCATGGTATCCACGAAAAACTGTGTTCCAGCCGCTTTGTAATCATGGCATGTTTCAGTGCCTACTGGGAGCTGAAAGAGAAGTAAGCTGACTCTCCTGGGGCTTGGGAGTGTATGTATCTAGTCAAGGAAACAGTCTGCCATCTCTCTGCAGGTTTAGTCTGAACTTCCTGAGTTTGCATCACAGATTATATGACAATGAAACAAGACCCCAGACAGTCATCAGCTGAAGATGTTAGGCATAACTTTTGATTGTGACTTTTAACTCCATATTTTTTTATATTCACAGGGTCCTTTCATTCTATCACCTGAATATCTGCCACATCCAAACAATGCTTTCTCCTCGATTGCAGCAACAATAGTCTATGTGACTGCTGGTACTGTCCCCAGGGGGATTGGCTTCTCTGTAACTTGCTCAGATTTAATCTCTATACAAACTCGACCAGACCTGCTACAATTAAAGTCGACTGATGCCTCACTCCTACTTAAAAGCCTCAGCAACTTCACATTGGCTTCAGCCCAAGTCCTGTCCCCATGGTGCTCGGCTTCATCCCCTGTCATTTTTTTTTCTCTGATTTCCTTTTCCCCTCAGAACATTCTCTTATTGAACCTTGCCGAAATAATGGAGCACTCTTCCCCCTTTCTCGTCTTACCTACCTTCTGCTTCGCCTTCAGCTATCACCTTTGACACTATTTCTTCTGAGAATGTCCCTGGGTGTTACATGATTTGTCTTCATCCTTTGCTATAGTGTAAGTCATTCAACTTGGAGAAATGTTTATGGCTCACCTTTCTATCGCCAATACTTCATATTGTGCTCAGGACTGTTTTTTCAACTGGACGAATGAGTGGGTGCATAAACAGATAAATAATTACAACTTTGAACTGCATGAAGTTAGTTGAAATACAAGATGCTATGTGGAGGGGGGTGACAATAAAAATCAAGTAAGACTAAATTATTAATCCACGGGACGAGAAAAGAGTGAGTGGCAAGCCGAGAAGTAAAGAAAGAGATGAATGTTCTAGGAAGTCCATGGACCAGATAGAAGGAGACATCCAAGGAAGGAGAGGTGAGGTGTTGGAAAGCTGTTCATGGTTTATTTCCATAGCATCGTTGGTCTGATTCACCCTGGCACTTGGGGCTCGCTCGCTGGGTGGCGGAGGATAGACCCTGAATAATAGAGAGGAGAGACTGAGGGTTTTAAACAACAAGGGACATGATCAGCTTTGCTGTTGGGAAAGATTGCATTGGGAGATGCTATAGAGGACAATTTAGAAAAGCAAAGCCATCAGGAATGACAAAACTAAGAGGTCACATCCAAAACTGTCACTTTGAACAAAACCCAGAAGAATGTGTGTGGGGGGGGCAGATTCAGAGAACTTTGTGAGAGAGGAAAAAAAACCATGAAAGT